TATCACAATATACTTGTAGAGTTCTTGCTTATAACAATTCACTATTTATATGTTATTTTATTAGTTGTTATGAGAGAAATCTCTGATCATCATCTTGTTCTTTGCTTCAAAAGCGAACATTTCCCATTTTCAGTGGAGTTGCTGATGTTGCTTTTAAACTGGCTTCCCCCCCTCTTTTTTTGGTTGCTTTTAAAATGGCATCTCTGGTTTGTCTTCTTGAAAACCTGACCACTATTTCTCCAGGTAGGCTATTTTTTTAATGTAATTGGAGTATGCCCTATAGGCTGATTCCATTTCGTTTACAAGTTCATCCGCTGTTGAGCCTACTACTGGAGTGATGATCTCACTAAGCACCCTCTTTAGGTCTTCCCGGTCTGTTTCAGAAACCCCCTGAAACCTGAGAATCATGTTAGCTTTTTCCATCTGCAGCTGCAAAACTCGATTCTCTTGGCAATTCTGCTTCGTTTCCACATCTCCCATCCTTTTCTTCAACTTCTTGCTTGTGGTGTCTATTTCTTTTATTTTCTCGCTTGCCTGATCCACTTTTTTCTCTGTTTCATTCAGCTGAAGCTGCTGTGCTGCAAAGTTTTTATTCATCACGGTCAATTGCTGGTTAATACCATCGAGTTGTTCCATCACCGGCTTGAGCATATCCACCAGGAGTTTGAGGACATCTGCTCCCTCTTCTGGTTTTGGACTCTGACTGCCCGGCTTCATTTTAAACTTTCTCTGCTGGGCCACCATCTTTCCCGTTTTATTTACAGTTTCTGCTGCTTCCACGCAACTCGGAAAACTTGCCAAACGACTGCGCAATTCAGATAAGTCTCTTAAAACACTTTGGGTTTACTTCCTCCTCTCTCCCCCTTCGTGTCTGTTAGCCGCTCATTCGCATGAGCGAATTCTTTGCAATCTCTTTTTTCAACCGCGGGGGGGGGGGATCGCTTTTCAAACTACTCCGTTTTATTCAGAACTCACGTTCATTGTCGGTCAGTTTCTCTGACCATGCTCGGTTTTACGCCATTCCGCTCTTGTCCCGGTCAGTCCAGCTTGTGCACGAAGGCCACTGAGCGACTGGACCATCGGGGCGGAGGGGAGCCTCAATTCTCAGGCATTACGCCGCCGAAGAGGCTACCCCTCAAAAGCCCCCTGGCCTGGAGCCTATCGCAAAGGCTTCGTGGGGGTGTCATTTGAGGTGGCACCCCTCCAGGCCGCTGGTGTGCGATTCGCCCTTCCCCATTGTGGGAAGAGTGTCCGCCATCGTTTTTCCATAGACTGGAAGTCAACATATGTAAAAACCTTAAGCCACCATTATCTGGTGGATTTTACAAGCTGTTGCACAAAACTTTACGCTAAGTGCTGAAACCGATGGGTTTTCATCTATAAGTAACATTCTATAAGCTTAGAACAAATCTCTTGAGAAAAAGGGCAACTAGGGCCCTGTTCATACGAGCTGTTTGGGCCGGGAGAAGGATGGATTGGGGCCGAATGGGCCGCAGCAAGTGCGGCCGTGGGATCGCCGGCGCTTTCTTGCGCCGGCGCATCCCTGGCTCCTGGTTGAACTGCGCATGTGTGAGCATGCGCAGTTCGCCAGCCCCCCCTTTCCACCGTCGCTTTCTCCCCAGCATCTGATCGTGCCGGGGAGCGACGGCGCACAGCTCGGGGGATCCGTGAGATCCCGCCGCGCCGTCTCAATTTTGATGCGGCTCAGATTAGCCGCAGTTCGACCGTCCTTTTCCCTGCCATGTGGCAGGGGCCAAAGTAGGACGTGTTCCGTAGTTTCGATCTCCCCTGAGCCACAGGGCATAGCCTATCTGCCTTAGGAACACTTTTATATAATTCTGCTAAAACTGCGGAAGAGAGTTCTTGACATCTGGCAAGGGAGAATGCCATCCTTTGACTAGGAATCTCCAACTGCAAGAGGTAGGTGACCAGGGAGAGAGCACTGCAGTAATCCAATCTCGAGGTGACCATTGCGTGGATCACTTCAAGGAAGGGAACCAACTGCTTAATCAGCTGCAGATGGTAAAAGGCAGACTTCGCAGTGGCAGCTACCTGGGCTTCCATTGTTAAGGAGGCCTCCAGGAGCACTCCCAAACTCCTAACCTCCAGTGCTGGCACCGATGGTGCCCCATCGAAGGTCAGGAGAGAGATACTGAAACTTGGCCCACTCCGACTCAGGCACAGGACCTCCGTCTTTGTCAGATTCAATTTCAATTGACTCAGTCTAAGCCAACCAGCCACGGCTTTCAACACCAGGTCCAGATGTCCTGGACTAGAGTCTGACTGACCTTCCTGTTCCTTCCCCAGCCTCCCTGCCATGGTGGGAGGGCTGGGGCAGGAAAGAGAGAGAGAGAAGACATGTTTAAATGCCTTCCCTTTCTTTCCCCGGCCTCTCTGCCACAGCAGATCGTCTGGAGAAGGACAGAGAAAGCATTTACACATGCCTTCTCTTTCTCTCTTTCCTTCCACAGCCACCACGCTGCAGCAGGGCAGCTGAGGAAGGAAAGAGAGAGAGAGAATACATGCTTAAATGCCTTTCTTTTCCTTCCAGTCATTAAACTGGTCAGTTTCAATCCCCTCCACTTCCAAGTCCAGGGGAGTGAAACAGACCAGTTTAATGGCTGGAAGGCATTTTTGCTGAATAGCAGGGTCAGTGTGCTAGCCTGCTGTCAGGCTGAAATGCCTGCCAGCCATTAAACTAGTCAGTTTGACTCTTTTCCACTTGGAAGCAGCGTCAGCTGTTAGATTTAAATGGCTGTCAGCTCAGTTCCAAGTATAGCTTAATGACCTAATAAAAGCCGGATAAAATTGTTTTTTTTCAGGCTTAGCTGAATCAGGACCCAAATGATCTGTATTCAGCTTACACGATACACAAAAAATACCAATAAGGTATTTTTCAGGTATTTATTCGACTCGGTTTATGTCGAATGCACACCCCTTGTGCCCATCACTTTCCTCATGCACTTCTCACAACCATAGCAGAACATCCTGATGAAGATTATTTCAAGAAAGCTCTAGTTCCATAAAGCCTTTCTTTGACATTTTTAATATTTTCTTTATTTAGCCTTGGGCCTGATGGTCTTCCTGAGGCATCTGAGGGGCATTGCAAGCTGCAGCTTTATGTACCTTGGCAATGTTAGTAAACAGAATTGCTAGGTGGAATATCCAATTGGATTTCCTTGACTCTCCTGCCTTTTTCTCTCTTTCCAATAGCCTTTAAATGGAAAGGGGAGGTGGAAAGTAAGGGACAGTGAGGCTGATGCTGGGCACAGCTTCTTTTTTTTATTCTCTTAGCTCTGGATTCAGTGGGTTCTAGGATGATTGTGCCAAAAAGTAAAAGATTAAAAATGATAAAGCTTTAACAGTTCTTGGTATCAGAGCTTCCATAACACCCTGTTCTTCATGGTGAGGCAGAAAGTGAACTGAGTGGGATTCCCTCTCACCACAGGAGAAAGAACACTGGAGCTAAGTCCTGACTCCAGATCCAATGGAAGTAATTATCCTCCTCCACAGAATGAGACTGTACTAACTACGTGAAAATTTCTCAATTTAATTATCTTTTGCTTTCTTAATTTCTTTAGTCCCATGGCATAACAAAGCAGCAAGGATGCTAGTTTTTTTTGTATCTGAATCCCACACTGTTCTGTTAACACTGGAATTACCAAACCATATGGTACAGACTTTACTGGAGAAGTATCACATTAGTTCCTCATCTCCCTGTGAGCTAGTGGTCCTGGTAGTGGAAAACCTCCCACATCATCCTCCAGCCCATACGATTGTATTTAAAGTTACCAGAGGAGAATGGAATCCAGTCAGAAAGACATGGGAATCACAACAGACTGATAATATGAATTGGTCTTTAATGATCTAAGATAATGTATTCATGTGTGATATAACATATTAATCAGTCTAGCTGCTTAAGGCACTGAACCATATGTTTATTCATTACAGTTTTATATGAAATACAATTCTAGGAGGTTGATGATCTACATGGCCTAATTTAAAGGTATGCTCCTTCAAATGCCTGTTGTAGTACAAAGTATTAGACAGATACTCTGTTTAGCTCTAGGCTCATAAAAATCAACAGTGCACAAGCTCCATCGCTGTAGTTTTAAATTACCAGGCCTTTTGATAAATTTTATATTTACATCTGTACAAAATGTCTATTGACACAACATGGGAAATTAAATGGGGATATTGAAATAGAAATCTGATCAAGAAAATATTGCTTTATTAGATAGCATGCTGTAGGTATGCCAAGTCAATAAGGAGACAGGCCACCATTACTTTGTAAATATATATTCTTACATCTATAGGAAATGTTAATGTCTGTTCCTGATAGTAGTGATAAACAGAAAAACTCCAACGAAATCTAATTTCTATTTAAACAGAAGACTGATATTATATTCTAACAGGTTAACAATATTCAAGCAAGAAGAAATTATTCCTTGGTGTTCTATGTATTAATTCATCATCCACCATATTTATGTTCTTACCACAGAAGGGTTCAATCCACTTTGTGCATGCACTGAGAACTTGTCTATGTTCAACAAATCATTTAGAACTTTTCAAGCATCATAGGTTAGCTGGCAACACTACTAATACAGATATTAAGAATAAAAATGTGAAGTGTTTTTTCCTAATAAGTGAAAATTTCATCATTCACTTCAGCAAAAGCAGGTTTAAAGAACTGGTATTAAAATCTGTTTAGGTAGCAATACATACAGGATTGAACCCTTTCAATGCCATAGAACCCAAACCCTTTGTAGAGGGATACACATATACAATTAGAGAAAATTAAGACCCCAGTCTGTTTGATTGTGTTAATCAATGAACCTAGTACATTCGCAGAGAAGCAGCCCAAAGGATCACCACATTGGTTAGGAGAATGTTAATTTAACAAAGAATGCAATGCAGCTTGCCGTGTTTTACTGCTGGGTTAAGCGCTGCGTACAGTAAGTTACTGGATAAGGAGCAAAGGATAATTTTCTAGTTCCTACCTATATCACTGGCTACCATCTTGGAAAACTTTCTGCTTTTGGTCTTCACTGCAAATAATATTTTGATACAAAATGTCAATCTATACGTACACTAAAAGATGAACTAATGAAAATAATATTCTCTTAAGAATAAAAATACTGTACCCTTTTCTATAAAATTATTCATTTTTTGATCATCATCAGAATTGATGGGAGAACCAGAACCTATATGAGTGAAGACAAGAATGAAATGGACACAGAAAATGGATATTTACACAAAAATAATGCATACAAAACATATACATGAAGAATTATGACAGACCACTGCATTAAGGAATAAGACGCTATGAACACAAATGGTATCGCATACTATGATAGCGCCATTCCCAGCTACAACCACCAAGAGAACCTCAGATAGTAACAGTGATTTATAGATTCCAAACCTTTGTGTTAGACAAAAAGTAAAGAATTTCTGTTGGCAGAGATCCTCTCCTCTGCTTTCCAATCTGATACCCCCAGAGTCTTCATTGCTGTATCTACTTGTACATAGATAGATATCTGACTCTTCCATATCTATGCTGCATCACCATAAACAGCAGTACATGGTTCTCTTTTGCACTGAAGTTAATCCTAATCTCACCATTTTCTAGTGAATAGTATCATGTAACGAGGAGGAAAGCCCAGAGAGTATTTACTTCTGACATTTGGAAACATAATGTGCTGTGATAAGAATGTACTTGTCCAGATTAACTAAACAGTTCAAGGGCCCAAGTCAGCTGAAAGAGACATAATGACAATTCATATTTTAATGTTAATTTTCACATACTTAATCTATTTTGGAGGAAAAACACGCGTTGTGCTTTGTGTTTCACCTATGACTGTGAAGTGTCACTTTTCCTCTGAAGAGCTCCCTGCTTTGTTGTACTAACATTTACATCTGCTTTAGAAACAGTCACAAGAAGGAGAATATGAAGGGCGGGGACATGAATACCTAACATCTTCAACCTCACAAACCAGCTAAGAGCGAAATGGGATTGCAAATGGGAGTAGATTAGGACCAGTTCTAGAAATTTGACCTAGTAAAATCTTGTCCTTTTCCAGTTTTGCATCTATCACAATGCTGCACCATGCGCAGAAACAGTATTCCTTTGATTACCAGTTGTCATAGTCAAACAATGGGGTGTGACTTTTCCCATATTGTTCTGCTTAAGATTTCTCAGGAAAACCTGACTGATCGGTACAGGGGAAAATCTGCTGGACTGGATATACCTTTGAATAGGCAGTTCCTATATTCTTTTACCACTAATATGGAAATAAGACATATTTATTTATTTCAACAAGAGATCTTAAAGTTATCCAAATCCTAATCAATCCCAAATGTGCAGGTTTTTCCAATACTCCATCTTAGTCTCCCTTTGAAAATAAATGACAGCAGTACATCAAAGGAAGGGTTCCCCCCTCCTTTTTTCCTGCTTTTCCATCCTAGGAGACTCTCATACATAGTGAAATCCATCTTCTACACGTCAACATGTAATCTAATTACATTAATTGGACAAAAATACTAGTATTAAAGGTATTATAGTAGCTTCCAATATTTACTTATCTCCACAGGACATTTTATTCTGCTGAGCAAAAAGAAGTCTCTTAAATGCAAGATATTGAGATAAAAATCTGATTGCATTTACCTGTAACTGATGTTTATCAAATGGTGGGTTGTTCAGTCACACATGAGAACGATGTGTGTGTATGCAGACCAACCACAGAAATAAAGAGCTAATTTTTCTTCTAGCACAAAGCACTTCCCTGCCTCCCCCAGGATTTTTCCCACCGCTGACAGGTGATAAGAAAGGGTGTATGTGCCTATCCTTCAATTTCTACAGACACTGCCAGAGAATATATAACTGTTGAAAAAAGAAGAGCTAACTGCATGACAGGAAGGGAGAGTTGTATGACCGCATAGCCCACCACCTGATGAACATAAATTACAGCTAAATGCAACTATGTTTTCATCTTTGTGGTGGCTGTGCAGTCCTACCGCCTAAATTGTGGTGGTTATGTTGCTCTTATTCAAACAGGAGATGTAGCACACCTTTTCCCACTTGTGCTTCCTTTCTAGGATGGATTTTGAGAGAACAAAAGTAGAAGAGGGCAATCATGTCATTGCTCAATAGGGATGGGCACGAACCTCATCACGAACCTCAATTCATCACAAAAATCACCTGGTTCATGCAATCTTGTCTGCAATGAACCTCCCACAATACTCCACGTGTTTTTTGGAGGTTCATGTCATTTATTGGAAGTTCGTGTCAGCAGACACACTGACACCAATCAAGAAGATGAACAAAGTCTAGCATATTCACTGTTATAGTAAAAAGAGCAGGGTCAACCATAATGGATAACTGGAGATACAAAATCCTAGAATAAAGGAAATAATCGGAAACATTTTCCATTCTCCCAAAAACAACTTTGGAAAAAAATCCAATGGGAAAACTGGACTCTCGGGAGAAACTAGGAAAATCAGATCAAAACAGTGATTTAAATTATTTATAAGATAGGGTTTTAAAATATTGCTTTAACTGCCCTTGAATCCTAACAACTATGTACAACAGAGTTAAACATGTACAACTCTCAAATCCTCTTATGTGCTTCAAATTCCTCCCTCTTCTGCAGCATGTGAAAGAAATTGATCCATGTTTACAAATATACAAACTAAATAATAAAGAAGACTAACATGAAAAGCCAGAAAAGCTTGTTTTGAATTGTGTAAACCTTTAGGGCTTTTTTAATGTCCAAAAATTAAACTTCATAATCAGAAACCATTGATCTTTCAAGGAACTGATTCTGGTTCAAGAAAACCTTCAGATAACATATTAAGACCTTTTTGTTGCTTGTCAATACCACAATAAATACGGCAGAGTGTTTCCTGAAGTGGGCTGTCCTGTTGAGATAAAATGGCAGTGCTCTCCTAACTAGGAATGGGCATGAACTGCATTTTTATGGTTCGGTTCATGGTTTGTGGCTGAACCATGAACCAAACCATGAACCTATACAGACTGGAAGGTTGGTTCGCAAACCGAATCAGTTCATATGGGTTAATGGCCCCTGCTTTCTGCTCCCTGCCATTTTCCATGGGGTATATAAATGGATAAAAATTGAAGAAGAACACTGTGGAGATTCCAATAAAGCAATTTGAATGGTATATCTGTGTCTTTGTATTCATTTACATGATCAGTGAATTCATATATTAATAGATTCTTTGGTTCCTTAATAATTTTGATAACAATAATTATACATTCTATACAACAAAAACTAACAATTCTTTAAAGACAGTATGTAATGGTACAGTGGAGCAGAAATATATTCCAGTGTGACATGCGACTTAAGGACAATATGTAATGGTACAGTGGCGCAGAATAATGTTCCAGTGTGACAACATATGTCCAGGACTTTAAGTGCATTTGAGGGATCTTCTTCAAGGTCACAATTCTATCTCATGCAGAATTCATGCCGGAACTACATACAATAAAAATAAACAATGTACAGAAACTGATACTACCATTCACAGTGCAAGAATCACAGGCTCAAAATAATATCCCTGCACTCATCAAATTTTTATATAACAGTTCCCAAATGGGTGTCTCACTCTTCTTGAGCAGCATATGGGTTCTCATGAAAGCAATTTTGTCTGTGCTAATTTAATACTAAAGTCAAAATTGCGAAGTCATGATAACTTGCAGAACAGTTTCCATAGAGTTATTACCCAAAAAAACACAATCAGTGATACATTCAAGCCCTTTGGTGTCATTGCTTGTAAATTAAATATGAACAATGGTTTTTTTTGCATAATAATGTCTTAGTGGCATCAGTAATGTTGAAAGGGTGTGAGTTCAGTTTAAAAAGCACACCAAATCTCAAGTCTTCAGGAGCATTTTTTTCCTATAAAAGTGGGACTTCCATAGTTTTGTTTTTTATCCTAGAGGTATGTTCAAGGATCCTAGTTTTAACACGTTTTATACTGGATTCTATATATAACAAATCACATGGGCATTTTATGAAATACATAACCTTCTATGTGTTACAGTTTGTAAATTGCAAACATTTCCAAGTAAAATCAATAGAGGGATGTTTGAACTCTTCAGTTTTCATGGCCAGTGAACATGCTAAACATCTTCCGCACTTAAAATGCCCCACTATAATTACAGAGTGCTCTGGGATCATCCTGTTAATATCTAATGATCATGTCCTATACGATCTTGGATTTCCTCCAACCAATTCTATGTGGCTCACTACACCCTGGTAATCCTGAAACCAATGCCTGTAAAGGATACGTTCAATGGAATTAGATAACATCGAATATTGAAACTGACATGTTAAAAGTCTCTGTTGAATGTAATTTCTATCTTTAAACAATGATTCCCTGACTATAGCATTTGCTCATTCCTTAGCCATCTTAACGACATGCTCTATATAACCCCTTTCCTTAAATTATCTTTCCAACCTACTACTATCTGCGATATAATGAGTTTTAATAGTAGAATTTCATTTTATTCTGAGGAATTGTCCAAAAGGAAGATTATTCCTAAAGTGTCTGGAATGGAATGATTTAAAGTGCAACAGCAAGTTCCGATCAGTGGGTTTAGAATACACCTTAACTTTATTAATTGCGTATATAGTGGTGTCCTTAAAATTAATAGATGTACTAATTTAGTATCAAATTTAACAGTCGGACGGAGGGAATTAACCCATTTGCTGAATTCATTAATCTTACTGATGTCAGAAAAAATAAAAATATTGCCAATATAACTACACTTTAGTTGCCCAAAGGGTCATTAATCATCAAGGGCATACTAGTCAATATATGTTCTCTATCAGCGGTACTGAAAGTAAATTGCCCCTGTGTACCAAGCATAGCCAATCATTGTATGGATTTTTTAAAATAAATATTTTTATAATAACAAATTAAGTCCTTTTTATAAGGAATTATTAATTTATAAATGTTATATTTCTAGAACCTAGTCATCCATATTGAAGGAAGTGTTAACTTTTACTAGCTTCAATCATGATTCATGAGAGACGGGTTCCAATATGAGTGCCTTCTGAATACCTGATTCCCTCTGTGCAACTTGAAGAAGTTCATCGAAGCATGCAACATACCTAGGAGAAGCATAGTCTGTGCAAGATTCAGACTGCAAAAAAACCACTCCATGTTACAGATATTTAATTCT